GAGGTGTATCGATCGATGTCAAGTGAAGAGTATCGGTCGACGAACGGTTGTTGATGTCGATCGATGAGGTAGTGTTGGTGGCGGTCAACGAACGGTTGTTGATGTCGATCGATGGGATGGTGAAGGAATTGGTTGACGAACGGTTGTTGATCGTCGGTGGAAAGCGCGTATCGGTCGATATAGAGGTGTTGGTATCGATCGATGTGTAGCGTATGTCTTTGCGGATACTACGCTCCAGATTGTTGGGATCTTCTGAGTACAAAAGTTTCTTGTCCTTGTTGCTTCTAGTACTGCTGGGCATGTACCTGAAAGAGACAAAAAGAAAAAGAAAAAAATTTGTGTCAAAAGATGGGAAAATAAAAAGTAACAAATAACCTAGACTGAATCAGATTAAATCTAATAGTGATCTTAGTTCCCCGGCAACGGCGCCTAATTTGATGTCTCTCAAATGTTTAACCCTAAGGAGTGATTTACTCTCTCAAATAAGAGGTTCAATCGTAGTACTTAGGGATCGAATCCACAAGGAACTAGAGTCACAAAAGATATAATCCTAAGTGATTAAGCTAGATTGAAAAAGGTTTTAAAACAATAAATAAAAATAGGTAGCAATGGTAAGTTGCTAAGGAAAATAGGTTTTGGGTTTGAAAACAATGAAAGATAGTAGTTAGATTCAAGGTTACTATTCAGAAAATCAGGATTATAGATTTATGGATGTCTTAACGAATTGCTTGCAAATATATGAGAACTTCAATCCTTAGACAAATTTATAGCTGTCGCTATTAGACTCGTCCATTGATCTGATTTCCGACAGTATCGATCGATGTTGCTATCGCAGTGTCGATCGATATATGTTGCCGTCGATCGATGACTCTAGAGGAGTATCGATCTATATAAAGTATCAGATCGGATTGAAACTGTGTTCACTCGAGAATTTCTATCAGACCGGCTGTCGCATCGAGCCTTAATAGAGTCTGGGTTTAGCCAAATGATATCAGGAAATGAATATTAGATTAGTCACTCCATAATCATAACTCTAGGTAGCAAATCTAGAGTAAGAACTTTCTAGGGCTCTTAGGCATAGCTATAAATATGGAGTACAATTAGGTTAAAAACTCGTCAAGGGCAGTCTTGTAATTTGGTGAGAACTTGGGCTTCAAGTTGGCCAAGTAAATCTTGCTCATCACGCTCTGTATCGATCGATGGTACATTGCGTACATCGATCGATGGAGTATCTCGACTTCAACTTCTACGGAATTGTCATCGATCGATTACACAAGGTGTGTATCGATCGATATGTGTCTCTCAATGTCGGATCTTCATTGTCAACTTGTAAAACTCTCCTTTAAGCTCCATAAGGCACCTAAATCATCACTTTACGACAAAATGCTCCTAAACCTGAAAACATACCTAATAGACTCCAAAACATAGATAATTATAATAAAACATATCGAAATTATGATCAAAAACGGGTCAAAATCATGGTATATCACCGCTCCTTCTAAGTTTTCGACGAAGAGATGACAGTAGCATGCGTTTTTTTCGTGATCCTTGAGCTTGGCTCGTCCCATGGTAATCTGGAAGGCCTGCAGGTGCGCTTTGGGATCAGCCGTCCTGTCGTAAGTAGGCACCTTGAGCTAGCCTGGATGAGGTAGCTTGACCTCGGTGATGCGAGCCGTAAAAGGCGTTTTTCGAGATTTGTACAGTAACCGATCAATTTTGGGTGCGGCGCTGGTAGCATGGTGAATCTGAGATTTCACTGCTTGTACCGCTGCGGCCATTTTGTTAATGTACTCGCGGAGATCGCGAATCTCCATTAGTTTGCCAGCAGTTTTCCGACCTCGTCAGCGTTTGCTGCGAGTGACCGGAGATCGTCCCTCGGCTGTTTTTGCGCGTTGCGCAAAATAGAGCTCCTCCTCGTTTCCAGAAAGAGAACGCTCAGGAGAGGACTCCGGCAGAGGACTGCGAGTTTTCCTTCTCCTAGGATGGACATCCGCGTCCTTGTCTGACGAGTCGGCTTGGTCGCTGGTGTCCAGGTTAACCCTCTCGACGCCGTCTCCCTCGGTCTCCTGTTCGCGAGTAGGAAATTTTTCCGATTCGTTTAGCGTCGCGTCAGGGTTATCTTTTTTGGAGTCTTTCTCCGTCTGATTTCCCTATTCGATTCTGGTACGATCCATAGGAGTCTCAAAGTCGAGCCTCCTTCCGCGGATCTTAGTAGTTCTGCGGGGGCGAATTGCTCTGGTTTTCGCAGTTAGGGTTTCGACCTAGTTTGCGAGTGAACCAATGAGCTTTTCCTGCTCTTCCGATTTCTTGTTAAAGTCGGAGAGCATCTTTTCGACGGTCTCGGCGATAGCGTTTGTAGCGTTGGCCGCGGACACATCTTGCAGTGGTGTAATGTCAACGTTGTCGCTTTCGCGAGTTTGTTGGTCACCAGCCATCGTTTCTCGATTGAGCGTGCTGCGGCTTGAGTGTGAGATAGATCCGACCCCCCCCCCCCNCCCCCCCCCCCCTCCCTCTAGCGCCAAACTGTGGGAACCGAAATTCACCTATTGTCATGATTACGTAAATAAGGGAACTTTGAGTAAACCCTAAGTTCCCAGAGGACCCGGCTATCTGCGGAACCGCACACAAGCAATCAAGAACGCGATATGAGTAAGTAAAAATAGATGTAAAGAAAAACGAGATTGGGAGCAAAAGGATTCTTATTCCGAATTCGTGTAAGAACGGTACAACAAGATTCAGCCTTAGCTGCATGAGCCGTCGGCGAGATTCCTAACCCTAGCAATCTAAGACTAAAACCCTAGTTGAGACGCAGCTCGATAACGAAAACGGAAATATTCCTAAATGCTAAGTTTGGTGGTGAAAGCTCTGAAAACTCGTCCTCTGCTTCTGTCTTTTGCCTCTTGCTTATATACTCCCTTCCTTGGCGGTTTGGTCCTTCCATTTTGCCCTGATTCGAGTTTATCGAAAATCTTCCATTTATCTTTATCTTTCCTTTTTTCCCGCGGAAATCTTCTATTTATCTCTAAACTTGACATTTATCTTCTTTCTGCAAGTAAATCATCAAAACGTCGTCGTATCCTCGGGTTGAACTTCGTTTAAAGTCGCGAGTGGGCTTTTATCGCGTTTTAGGACTTTCCGAACCGTTTTACGACTTTAGACGAGATCGTTTCCTGATACGATGCCGTTTTTAAGTAAGTTTCTCGAGTTAATCGTAAAGTTTTGCAATGTTTGATGTTCCAGTTAATCGTTGCCGTTTTTTACGATTCACTCGAAGTTTTATTAAAACGCGTTTTTACGATTTCTCACGAAAAATATCGAGTAAATCATATAGTTTAGGCAATGTCCGGTGTTTCGTTTAACCATTGCCGTTTTATACGATTTCCTTGAGTCCTTTCGAGAAAACAAGACTTTACGGTTTTTATCGTAAAACTCGAACGATAGGATGGATTGAGACGAAATGAGAGACATTTCGATCGTGGTTCGGAACATGATCGTGCCGAAGGACGTATGCCTTGAATCAAGGACGTGGGAGATCAAGGCTCGGGATAATTAGCTCGACGTACGACGAGCCGAACCGGACAGGTTCAGCTCGCCGTACGGCGAGCTATACGGGATGTGCCTGGCGAGCTAGTTCGGCCGAACCAGCTCGCGGTTTACGGCGGATGCGGTTTTTCGCGGTTTTGTGCTTAACTCGGACGATCCTGTAATCGGTTTTTATTTCGTTTTTCGAAATAACGACTTCCAAGTTTTCCATGGATTTCCTTTGTTTGGAAATTTATTTTATAAAACGATTTCTCGAGTTTTATAAAACAACTTCTCGAGTTTTATGAAACGACTTATCGAGTTCTATAAAACGACTTATCGAGTTTTATAAAACGACTTCTCGAATTTTATAAAACGACTTCTCGAGTTTTATAGAACGTATTTTTATTTTTATTTTTACAGAAAGTTTTGGCCATTGATTCCGTCGTACCGATTTTGACCCCAACATCGACTAAAATACTCGAGCCTAAATTTGACGTTTTAACTGGTTAAGTTAAAAAATACAATTTCAAAATCATCAACTGGTTAAGTTAAAAAATACATTTTCAAAATCATCATACTACATATAAGTTTGGTTTCATGATTGTGTAAAACCAAAACCAGATTAAAGTGGAACCAAGTGGAATCAAGTAGAACCATGTTATTTTTATATACGTCGCGATTTTCCTCTTCAAAATATTCATTATTTCTTACCATACATCATACTATTTCTTAGATTTCCTAATCATGGTGCATGAATCGAATGAAATGTCTAGAATTTTGGATATCGAAATCTGATTCAGTTGTCCGAATAACTAAGTATCTGATTTAATTTGATATACCGTTATTTGTATATATCGTATTCGGATATTTGTAAAATTTAATATTTTAATCAGATGTGTGCTACAATCCTTACCAATAAATGAAATTCAAAATAATGAAAACAATAATATTCTACTAAAAAAATTTACAAATCACTTTACAAACTTTATTAACTAAAATATCACTTTAATTAATTAAAATAATGTCAACTTTGATAAAATACAACAACTTTATAATATATATAATTATTTACATATATGTAATATAATGAAGCGAATCATATTAGATATCCGTTCATGAAAATAGTAATATTTTTTGTTTGATTTTTTTTCTTATAAGTATTGTATATAATATTTGTTTTACTTTGTAGACTACAATATCCAACACATTTCGTTTTGAATCGAAATCAATGATGAATCAAATAAAAATTAACTACCAGCCTTATCGTCGAGGATAATTTAAATAAACCAAACATATTGACAAACATATCGAAAATTTGATTTCATTTACATAATAAGTTCCGGTAAAAAGGATGTTTCAAAAGTACTCATAGTTAACTGAGTTTCTCTGCCAAACAACCAAACTTTTTTTATCTTTTTTTTTTCACACTGAAAGATCATATATTAAACCAACTTCAGTACATAAGCCCAGCGATGATGGACATCTCGGAGAAACATAGCCGGCGGATTACACATGATCCCCGGAAACCAAAGTCCACAAATGGGAGTTTAGGTGAAAACATGACTGAAACTAAGGTTTAATCAAAAATAATCACTACCAATATCACATCAGTTGAACCTCATATAAAGGAAAATAAGAATATGCAATGTAGAAGAGAACCTTTGAAGGACCGATCGATGAAGTCCAAATAAGACAGAGATATCAACAGCCATGTCATCCTATAGTGCATAGCCCAAACAAGATTAGCACAGCTTCAGAGTACCGGCGAGACCGCCAACATGAAGCTAAACAAAGATCAGATCTCGATCAGATCAAAAGGCTGATGACAAAGAGCGAGGAACCATGCCTCCGGATACCACCACCCACACAAAGGCGAGCAAGCAATAGATCGAAACCCAAGACAATTCAAAGTGAACTCGAGATCAGCATGCAACATTGAAACACAAAAGGATTTCAACCAAGAATGAAACTGAAGGATTAGGATCATCAGATTAAAGTATAACAGACATGCAACAGAAGATCAAACACCCGCTTTCAATTACTCATGGATTCAACTAGATATAGATCTAAGAATCCAAACCAAAGAGTAGAAAGAAAGACTAGATGAAGATCACACAAAAGAGACGATCCCGACGGTGACGCCAAGGGTGCGCCACCGCCGGAAAATACACAATCTTACTGAAGAAGAAGAAGAGATGAAGAGAGAAGGAGGAAAAAAAGATGAGAGAGAGAGGAGAAAATTGGAGAGGAAATAGAGTACAATTACATTCGCAAATATATTTAATACCTATAGTGTGTATGTTGCAAGTCATAAAGTAAATAAACTTTTACAAATAACTGATTCTATTTAATAAAATTTGAGCTAACACACGTAAATATTATGTGTAGCTCCAAGTGTAAAACATAACTTTTGTGTTGAAGTGTGTAAAACATAACTGGAACAATACTTTGTTCCTGTTTAAAACCGTTTTTGTTGTTCATTGAGCACATACCAAGATGTTCCATATCTTCCTTGTCCTCCTCACAATTCTCCCAATCTTTTGTTGCACAAAAGATTGGATCAAGTTCGATGACGGAAGATTCTTAATCACCCGAATCATGTTTTCAGGTTCCTTCTTCCTCATGTAGAAGCTTCTACTACCTATTCCACCAATGATTTCGGTCTTCTCCAAACCTACAAATTATTAAAACAGAAAATCAAAAATTTAAACTTTTAGTTAAGGTTGTTGAATTATATAGCTACATTTAACATTATCTAATAGACGAATGTCTTGCTCTATGATTTGAACTAAATTTCTCGAAAACTTTAAGCTTTTGTTCTGTTTCTTGACCATTTCAACCCACCAAAATTTTGTATAGCTTACATTGGATACTAAAGTGAGACTGATGCAGTTCAAAGGCAAGATCTTTATCGAGTTTCGGTGTTCGTCCTTCTTTGCGATACTTGTCCACAACAATCTTGATCGTTTCTTCGACGCTGCAACTTAGCTTAACCAAAATCTTTATAGGTCCTGGACTTCCTTCTACCGATACACTGATGACAACCTTTTCTGCTTCTCTCTTGTAAACCTGATTTTATAATCAAACAAACATAACCAGTTGAAATTAAGAATCTATCTGCTGACTAATATATATAATTCATAACTGAAGGACTGAATATAAATAAGGGATTTTAATTTGGTTAATGAACGAGAGAGTACGAGACAGTCTCTAAATAAGTGTGATTGATGGGTTAATTTGTAATATCTGAAATACTTGGCTCTGATAACAGCAAAACCTTTAAGACATGAGGACTAAAGAGAAAGAAAATCATTTGATGATGATTAGCGGGATTACCTGTTGGTTAATCGGGGACAAAGACGGTGAAGAGAAGCCAGATAACGACGGAGCTGAAGCGAAAACCTCAGAACGGATCATAGAGAGGTAAACGATCTCCTCCGGGAGATCTACCACCGGCGTAGAGCAAAGTCGATCACCATCATCTTCAACAGCGCTGCTTTGGTGGAGATTCGGCTCCGAGAAACTTCGGCTGAGGATTTTATTAGACTTTGAACGAATCTTACGACGGGAGAATTGGTGCTTCACCTTACGTCTAGTGGTCCTGGAGCTCCGGCCTCGGTTTAAGTCCGATGACGTGAGTTTTCTCCGGTGAAACGAATCTGACATTTTTGGCAGTTGGTCTCTGCTTTAGGAGGAAGAAGAAGCTGAGCAAAGTTTTGTTGGTTTGTTTAGGAAAGACGTGAACTGGAGGATTCTCAATGACTTCGGTTTCTCTTTTCTTTGTCTTTTTCAATAATATTATTTCACTTTTTATCTAAACGTTCGAATAAAATTAATGGAAGAAGAAAGAGACAAGGGCGGACATACAAGTGCGTGAGAGAAAACAAAAAGTGAGAGTTCATCGCTTTCCCCTCCGGTGAACGGTGCTCTGTTACCGTGTAGGATCCGTGAGGGGAGAGCTTATTGTCTTTGATTTTTTCTATGTAAGTTCTTAGATCTGTGAGAGCAAAAACCATTTCTCTTTAAGAATAATCAGATCTGACTTAACAAACTTAGATCTCGTTAGATCTGAGCTTGGTGTAGGTTTTTCAATGGTTTCCGGCCGCAAGTTTATGGATCGAGATGTGGTTTTGTGGCGACGGGTTTCATTGTAACCAAGTCTCTTTTGATTGTTCTGTTCTGGGTTTTAGCTCTCAAGGTCTTTTTGGATAGTTGTTCTTGTTCGGGTCGTAGATGGTCCTTTCTTTTCGGTTTTTGTTTGTTTCCGGCGGCGCACTTTCTATTCGGTGGTCGTTCGGCTCTTGTTACCGTCGTTGTACCTGTTTCGATAAAGGTAAACGGTCGGTTTAAGGCTCTTGTTACTGCTGTTGTACCTGTTCTAGAGGAATAGAGGATAAGGTTGTGGTGTGGGTGATGGATTTGTAGTCAGAGGAGTTTTGTATCCCTCCGATGGTATGTGGTGATGATTCACGCGAATTCTCTTTTTGGTGTTTGTGTTGATTTGTGCCGGATGAGATCTCGCGATAGCGATTGATTCTCTCCTATTGTGAAAGCACCTACGTAGAAGACGTTTGTGGTGAAGGTGTGGAGCTGTTGCGGTTCGGGTGAGTCCTGATGATCCGACGGTGTTTTATCCGGTGACGGCACGAAGCGGGAGCGTTGTCATGCGGTTTGCGACAGCAGAACTAGGTTGTTGCTAGGGTTTCCTTTGTTGGGCCTTCGGGCTTGGATTTGTAGGTATTGGTGTCCTGTTGGTTTTGGATTTTACCTATGTTTGTAATTTGTTGGGCCTGGCCCGTTTCTTTAATATAATTTAGACGGAAAAAAAAAATTAATGGAAGATACATGACGTGTTGACAAAAAAATTTAACAAAATATATAGTATAATCTCTTTAAAGTAATAATCTATAAATTAATATACACTAAAAATCTTTATAAAATAATGATTTTATAGTTTCAAATTAATTTTATAAAATCTTTATACTCCCTCCGTTCCTTAAAGATATACTCCATCCGTTTCACTTTATTTGTCATTCTAGGTTTTTGCACACAGATTAAAGAAATATTTAATTTTACATATTTCTAAGATAAAAACACAATTACCTATACACCTAACCTCTTTTCAACCAATAAAAAAATAGAATATTATATAAAACTAATAAATTTTGCCTCGAAACTTTAAAACGACACTTAATTTGTGACAAAAAAATAAGCCTAGAATGACATATATTCTGAAACGGAGGGAGTATATTTTTGAAAAAAATTGTTTCTAAAAGATCTATTTTTTACATTTTCAATGCATGTTTAATTAACTAATTGTAAACTTAAAAAAACTTAATTGCATTAACTGATTTTTTATTGGTTTAAAATTATGGAAAGAAGATAAATACAAAAAACTATGCAAATTTATTGTGTTTTATTAAAAAGTGTGAAAAAACTAGAATATGGATCTTTTAGGAACAGAGGGAGTAAATTTTTTCTAATATTAATTATTCTGGGCCTAATACAGTTTGATTTTGAGTTTAATACAAACATGTAACTAACATTTAAAATAAATCCAATGTTTAGCAAATAAAAATATTATTTATACAATTAAATTTTATCTTTAATAATGTATTGTAATTATTTTTGTGGGGTTATATTTTTAGTGGGATCAAATTTTCATTTTAGTGGGATCAATATCATTTTTCTTAAGTAAAAACAAATATTTTTTAAAAAAATAGCGGGGTAAGCTGATTTCCCTTCTTCTTCACTGCCTCCATTTGTCTTTTACTTGATAAACATTCGCACTGGCGCATTGTATTTTGTTTCGTAGATGGTTGATGGTGGTTTGGATGAACCACCACCTTTCACTGAGCTTGTGTAGAAGACACACATTCACAAGGATGGTTGATTCATTGACGAACATGCTGAGAAACTTGCCCTTGTGGTTGAGGACGTTGTGGATAAAATGACATTCAATGAGGAGAATCCCAACGGTGTCCAGCTAAACTGCTTCAACTTCTACAACTGCAACTGCAACTCCAAGACGATTCCTACTTGATCAAGAATATCTCAAGGTACTTCTTTTTGATTCATTGTTATATCTTTATGTCTCATTACTTGTCTGCTTAAAATGGCTGCTTAATCACTATCTTCTAAACCTTCGCGTCATATTTCCACAACTTGTTTATGTCTTCGTACTTATCTCTTATTTGTCTGCTATATGTCTTGTCCATGTGGTTTATAGTCATTGTTTCAATTTTTTTCAGCGTGGACAGACAAGCAAATAGGGTATATATGGGATTGGGAGCATCCAGTTCAGAGATTATGAACTACCTGAGGCAGTCCGAACATCTCTTAAACGCAGCGCATCTCTGGTATGGAGAAATGCTGAACGTGTCCACACCAATGTCAAACTTCTTAAGACTGATATGACTACACTCAAGGAAAATTTTGTAGCCTTGAATACTGAGTTCAAACAGGAGATGGCTGCAACAAGAACCTCCCTCAACACGATTCTACAGGCTCTTGGTGTGAATCCAACTACTCATACTTCTGAGATGGCTGCAACAAGAACCTCCCTCAAAACACGATTCTACAGGCTCTTGGTGTGAATCCAACTACTCATACTTTTTCTTCTTCTTCGTGCTACTCCTCCTCAACTGAACTAACCTGCTTCGTGCTACTCCTCCTCAACTGAACTAACCTGAAAATGCCTCAATTCTTCTTCTTCTTCTTCTTCTTCTTCTTCTTCTTCTTCTTCTTCTTCTTCTTCTTCTTCTTCTTCTTTCTTCTTCTTCTTAACTCATGCCTCAATTCCTATGATTGTTCAAGTTTAACTCTATGTAATGTAAACTTATACTGTAACTTGTGCTTTTGTAAGCTAATATTACATTTTAAATTTCGGCTTTTTATTTCCTTAAAACATTTTCCGATTGTAATATATTAACTTAATTGAATCTCTGGTTATAGGTGTTTTTTAAGTAAAATTTTGAATTTAGTCACACAATTAAAACCATGACCAAACTAATTTGTGTCTTTATAGAATACATGACATGCCACATAAATTCCGTAGCTAAATCCCCCTATATATTATTTGGGGATCATTTACAAAATTGTAACCTTAAATTTGTATTAATTAAAAATAACCTCAATCCTATGTGGTATATCTTTTTGCCTTCTAAATTATATTTACCACAATTCTAGAGCACTTTACATATACCATAGTTTAAACATATATTTACTAGAAAGATGTTGGTCACATATCTTATTAATATTAAAAATTTATTATTCATTCTTTCCTTAAATAAAATCTACGAAATTACCTAATGTGATTAAAAGATATATGAGAATTAATAATTTTAGTAATAAAGATTTGCTAACAATTTTTATACCCTCTACCATATTTGTTTAAATATATATTATTAAAATAATTTACACAATTACATTATTTATATAATAATTTTTTTTATTTCGTATATATTGTATTTGAATTTTTTTAAAATGGGTATAAATTACTAAATTGTTAAATAGCACAAAAAGTATTTTTGTTATCAATGGTTTAAATTTTTATTATAATAAGATACACATAATTATAAAATACATGAGTAAGACGTCTTATTTAATATGTTTATATATTAATACATATATATAACTTAAATTAAATTGCATACCATATAAAATACATACTTATATTTTGATAATTTCATTGAAAAATATTGAGAATATAATATTTTCTCAATTAAATTACATACCATATAAAATACATACTAATATTTTGATAATTTCATTGAAAAATATTGAGAATATAATATTTTAATTTTAAAATTTTTCATTCAATTTTTAATAGTTCAAAATTTTATTAGAAACAATATATTAATAATCATAAAACCTTATAATGAGAAAATTCATTTACTAAACATCCACATTTAACAGATATTATAGATATTGTTAATGTCATTTAAATTTAAGTGTATCTAATATATGATGGAGAAAATGATTGTGTTGATTTATTTACCATAAAATGATTGTTAATAAACAAGAATAATCATTTGATTTAAATGAACACACCAAATCCTCTATATATTAATTGAGGATCATTTCAAAATTTATAACATTAAATTTGTACTAATCCCCTATATATTATTTGGGGATCATTTAAAAAATTGTAACCTTAAGTTTGTATTAATTAAAAATAACTCCAATCCTATGTGGCATAGCTCTTTGCCTTCTAAATTCTATTTAACACAATTCTAGAACACCTTACATATACCATAGTTTAAACATATATTTACTAGAAAGATGTTAGTCACATATCTTATTAATATTAAAAATTTATTATTCATTCTTTTCTTAAATAAAAGCTACGGAATTATCTAATGTGATTAAAAGATATATGACGATTAATAATTTCAGTAATAAATGCTAACAATTTTTATACTCTCTACCATATTTGTTTAAATATTTTTTATTAAAATAATTTACACAATTACATTATTTATATAATAAAAATTTATATTTTTTCGTATATATTGTATTTTGAATTTTTTAAAACAGGTATAAATTAATAAATTGTTAAATATCTCAAATTAACTTTTTGTAAATTTTTATTATAATAAGATACAAATAATTATAAAATACATGAGTACAACGTCTTATTTAATATGTTTATATTAATACATATATATATATAATTTAAATTAAATTACATACCATATAAAATACATATTTATATTTTGATATTTTCATTGAAAAATGTTGAGAATCTAATATTTTAATTTTAAAATTTGCATTCAATTTTTAATAGTTCCAAATTTTATTAGAAAAATATATTCATAATCATAAAACCTAATAATGAGAAAATTCATTTACTAAACATCCATATTTAAAATATATTATAGATATTTTTAAATTCATTTAAAATTAATTGTATCTAATATATGATGGATAAAGTGATTGTGTTGATTTATTTACCATATAATGATTGTTAATAAATAAGAATAATCATTTGATTTAAATGCACACACCAAATCTTCTATATATTAATTGAGGATCATTTAAAAAGTTATAACCTTAAGTTTGTACTAATTAAATAAATTTCTATCTTATGTGGCAGTTCTCTATGAAATTATACTTAGAAGAGTTATAGAGCAAATCATATAAAGCATAGCTTTAAAACAAAATCGGTTGGTTTCATATAAAACATATCAAACTAAATAACATATCAAACTAAATCCCCTATATATTCTGTCCTTAAATAAAATTTACGGAATTACGTAATGTGATTAAGATATATATGATTATTGATGATTTTAAATAATAAAGATTTGTTAACAATCTGTATACTTTATATCATTTTTTATTTTATTATTATTAAAATAAATTACACAATTACACTAATCATATAATAAAATTTAGAATTTTTTATATATGTTGTATTTTGAAATTTTCAAAGTGAGTATAAATTACTAAAACTGTTAAAAATCTCACATAAAATTTTGTGATCTAGGTATAATTTTTTTTTCTATAATAAGTTACAATGATTATAAAATCATATGAATTAATAATTTTATTTTAATAGGTGTTTATATTAATATATATATATATATATATATATATATATCATATCCTAATAAATAATTTTATTTTAAACATAATTATAATTTGAAATTTAACTTAATTTTTTTATAAAATTATTTTTTATTTAAAAATTAATTTTTTAAAATATAATTTTTTGATATTGTTAGATAACTAAATAAATTATATTAATTTAGTTTTGAAACTTTATACATTCTAAATGCGAATATTTTACCTACTGCTTCTTAAGACAACATTATGGAACTTGATAATACTCTACCAGTTAAGTCATGTGACACTCTGTTTATTTTTCATTTCTCGAACACTGGAAAATGAAAAGATATATGAACCGGACTCATTAAATTATAGTTTTAATCTACAGTTCTAATTACAATTTTTTATTATCATATGTATAGATAATTATATAAAAATTCCAAAATTCCAAATAGATATAAAAACAATCATATGTAAATTTTAAATTTGTGAATACTAAAATCTTATATTTTAATTACATACATTCATCATGCGCCTTGCGCAGGTTTTATCCTAATAATCACAATAAACCACGAGCCAGATCATGACCATATAATACAGGATTATGTCACAAAAGTATTTATGACCATGAGCCATGAAATACCACGATCAATATCGTGACTCATAGTCATGAAGTAGACACGTTAAAACGTGGTTAAATAGACATGATTATTTTCATGTCTTTCTGTGACCATGTATTTTGTGTCGATACAAATTGTGTCGATACAAATTGTGTAAGCCACTTATCACCAATGATTTTAGGTTGAAAGTACATCTACTTCTTATCACCAATGGTTTTTGGTTGGAAATACATCTAATTTAACATGATATCATAACATTATTCACGTAAGTTCAATCCGGTCCTTTATTATTCATTTGTGCATTCTAAGATTAAGACCCAAAAAACCATTATCTCGAGAGAGCGTACTACACTAAATCTCTCACACTAAAAATTAGAAAGAAAAAGTAATATATAATATTGATGGACCAATCCACACCTCAAATATCATCGAAACAAAACCCGTTGCATTGTCAGGCCCCCTAAAGACTGCTCCACAAGACAATAAATCAGTTAGAGATTTAGGTAAATTTATCCGTTGGGAGACAAGACGCTTCTCATGTAGAAGCATTTATGATGGTGATAATGTTGCTAGTGAACCCACCAGCATACACAAAGATAGACGTCTCTTTATACAAGAGAGATATGACGTTATAGGCATGGCAGTTTCAGCGAAGCCTTCAATAACCCATTGATGGTATTTAGAAGACAAGTCAAGAGGACTAACCTCCCCTACCACCAGGTGGGCTGGTATGATATTGAGATGGTCAGAAAAGTTCTTTATTGGGCTTGTTAGGCTCAAACTAATGAAATCTGAATCAACCTCAGAAGTTTTTTTGGCTAGGTCATGTCGAAAAGAAATTGACAAGTTGAGATAGCTGCGGTGATTGAACAGACGAGATGTGACGGTTGATTGGAAGAGTGTGTCGGCGTTAACAACCCGAAAAAATGTAAAGAACGATGCCGGTGATACAAGCATTCAGATATGGATCCAGAAAAAGAACATCGGTAAATGATGAAGTAGAAGATTTCAGATTAACACATCAACTTCCGAACCGAAGTAATAGTGCCTCTCACTGAAAGGATATTCTTCATAGGAAGGACACGGGCGTGGAAGACACAGTGAGAAAGGTTGGCATTTGCGCCATTCTGGGAACCCCAAAGGAAAAATCAGATCTGAAAGCTTTCAACTGATACCTTGAAGATAAATGGATTGATCAATTTATTTTATATACTAATTTAGATCTCTTTCACTTTTTTTTATGTGGGAGATTTAGTTTTTAATAATGTTAATTTCTTAGTTAGTGCCAAAAAAGTGTCAGTGGATGCATGTGTATGACGTTCAGCACATAAATCTTGTTTGTTCTAAAGACAAAACGAAAAAGACCAACCAATAAATCTCATCTGATACTGAAACCACGTATATTTTTTGTATTATGCAGGCAA